GGGGCACCCGAGAAAAAGATACTCACACAAGCACCTCCCTGGATGTATCTGACCGTAATTATTGCAATTAGGACGTGACCTGATGTATTTGACAGCGATCACGTGCACGTGCAGAGAGCAGTACAAATAATATAGTGTGAATATGCTCTGTATCTGGCGCTAAATCCACTCCGCTTTGCTGGTGGTGAGACCCTGCCCATCCTATCCTAGGTGTGTGTGCGAATCCCAATGATTGATTGAAGTTTCAAAAAAAAAAAAAAAAAAAAAAAAAGATTGATTGAAGTCGTCCGTCCTCTCTTCTGGGGCCTGGTCCCATTAGCAAAGAGGATTTAATTTAGATTTAATTCGGGAATCTGGATGTGTTTGGCGCACAGATGCAGAAAAGCTGATCAATCTCAATTTTCCATCTCTCCACAAACGTGGCCAGATTCAGATATTAAATCCAATCCCCTTTGCTACTGGGACCAGGCCCCTGCTCATTCACGGATGGACACCCTAAAGGTAGGGAAAAGTAATTAAACCTCCCCGCTGCGAAACATTTGTATCCCAAAAAAAAAAATAAAAAAAATGTATCCGTTTCACCCAATCACTTTCCCCGGTGTCTTTTTTTTTTTTTTTTTTTTTTTTTTTTTGAGGCATCACATGATTTATTAAACGAACAAATTAGAGGGGAGGCCGGGGTCCTCACAATTCTACCCGGTGGTACCTGGATTGGAGTTGGTGGCCAGTCCAACCTGGCAACACAGCAATGTACCTAAATAGCACAGACTAACCAGACCAACCTGGTAACAACACAAAACAAACAAGGGCCAGACCAACCTGGCATAAAACAGGATTCACTCTTTGAGCATCGGCCCTCTCGACTCTACCACGGGTCCCTGGCCTACAATCAATACCACCGAGGCGTCATGAGCCACCGAGTGACCAGGTTGGATCGGCCTTGGAACCTTCTTCCCACTAAAACTATTCTACCACTTCCCCTCATAACACCCCAGTCCCACCCCCACTCAGTGTAATAAAACCCAACTCCCAGTGTGATGCCCCCCCTAATCCCGGCTACTAACTAAACCACTCTTGTTCTGGGTATCTTCTCACTCTCTACTCTACTGCTATTTTCAGCCTGATTTGAGCCATGGTGACAGCACCAGTCTCCCTGTCTGCGCAGACACTGCTACTAGCCGATTCTTCTTCGCCCATGAGCGCAAGAACCACAACCTTGCCTTCGACCGTTCTGGGTCAGGTTGGGACAACACTTTCTTCCTCCAGCCAACCAGTATCATGTGCCTGACTGTGGTTTTCATTCCTACTTTCAGTGCTGTATCAGAAAAATACTTTTTTTCAAACAGCACGGAGATCCTCTCTTTCCATATCCACCAAATTGCCACCGCACGAATTGATACTGCGACATATCCCCAACCTTTCCCATTAGACAGAGGGTGAGGTAGCTTGCCCGTTATTGCCCACTCCAGGTCCCATTCCACTCCCTCTGGACCACCCCACGCTTTCTAGTGATGGGCCCACCACTTCCAAATACGAAATGAAAGAGGACATGTGCCCCAAAGATGCGAATGGTCCTCAGGCACTAAGTGGCATCTGACACAACGTATGTCTATTTCCATACCCCGGGTGAACAGAGAAACAGCGTCTAATGGGGCCGAGTGGGCTATCAGCCACAACACAGAGGAACACTTCCTACTCGGTAACCTCCTACAGAGCTTCCACATTCCTTTATAATATTCCRCAGACAGCTSCGACCCCGTACTTGCATAGGGGTGTGCTTCCTGTATTTTGGCTGTTGAGCTTCCACCCAGTCTTTGTATCGCCATTCCCAACCCGGAACTATAGCGGCGCAGCCCAGGTTTACCACTCATCCTTGACCAACCATACAGCTCCGGATSCAGTCTCATATCCCTGATCGCTATGCCATCCATATAAAGTACAGKATGGGATGYGCCTCCTGCTGAAAACTGTATGTCAACTCTTACTTCCTCCATCAGGCCAGGGTTGCCCACCTCCCGYTCCTCCTTGAATGTCAATACATCTCCCGGTGTCCCTTCCTTGAACTGCCTCTCCCACACTTCCACTTYGTCTTGTGTAACCTGCCTCAGTATTTGCAGGTCTCCACCGACCGTGAGGGCGGGGCGGTACCACCGGCCTGTTGAGGGCGGGCCTTTGAGGGTCTGCTTCCAATCATCTGGGATTGCTTGAATCAATTCTTCTCTCCTTGCCTCAATGTRCCASAGTCTTCCTAGCTTGCTTCTGAGCTCTGGAGTACTTTTCCACCTCTTTACGAGTTCATCCCACAGATCTTCAATGCACAGCACCCCTCTCTCCACCCATGCTCTTCCAAAGTTCCCTCGCCCTGCAATCGTAAAGACTGTCCCATCTTCTC